ATATGAAATAATACTGAAAACCTCATGTATATATATATATATTAGTGAAATGAACATGGGCCTCAAAATACCCAAAACCAAGTTGAAAAAGGAAAATAGAATACCCGAACTTTGGTTGACCGCAGCGGTCGACCGGACTGAAAATTTCTAGTTTCTCAAGATTTTGCCTTTGTGCATGTTTTCGACTCGTTCTATTCTCATATATGGTCTTGTTTTTATTCAAAACACTAGTTAATGTACTCATACACTATTTAATGATATTTATCTCAATAAATATCCACTTATAATAATTAATCACATATTAATTATATTATCTCAAATTTTTGGGGTTTTACAACCTTAAAAACCCGTTTCCTTTTATTAGTCTCACATTTAGTTGCAAGATTCACAAAGTCCTAGACTTAATTCTTCCTCATGAAGCCAAGCTCCCCGTTCAATGCTATTTTCTACTATTTCACTATAGACCCAGAAATAGCATCCTCATATGATTTAGGCTTCGCAATAACATGTGGTGTAACCATAAATATTTTCCCATCGATCTCGAAAATATCATCTTAGTACTAGTCCACGGAACGATCTATGAGGAAGTTGAGATTCCCAAGATGGCTCTAAGTCATCCAAAAATATCTAATATGAATTGAAATCTTGACCTATTTCATCTTTGAAATCCTCCCTAGGCTACTCAATATACCACAACTCTTTCGGGAACAGTCTTATCATATTGCTCGCATGTAAACATAGCCTAGATTGTGTCTAAATTAGTGTATGAAAATACATTTCAACATTTTGAGGTCCAAACTTCTCATCCAATAAAAAGTTGTGCATGAAAGCAATACTCACTCATAGACATAGTGATCTAACATAGGCCCTCAGCTGTCCATGACTTATAGTGTATTGATTGTACCGATCTCGAAGATACACGGTTCAAGATATATTTTCTATCAATAGTACATCTTCCCAAGACCTAATGGATAGCTATTCTAAACCATATCTTGTAGATTTATAGTTTTTGCAATATCATTTTATAGCAGAATATAGGATATCATAAACCATATAACTTTTTTTTATCTTGACATAGTTACTTAAACTTTTAAGATAGATACTCTCTCAGGATTAGTGTGCAAAGCCCTAATGCTTTTTCTTAACTAGTTATCAACCTTACTAATTTAGTGCTTAAATTAAATTCAAGCACTCAACTAGGCATGAAATCAGATACACATGATAGTAAATAGAGTAGTAGCCTATAAATATGAGGAATTAATATGCTCCACTTTGTACTTTCATAAAGTTTAGTTTGTATATATTAGAGAGGACAAATTGCAATTGAGGTGCTCATAGCCTAGACACATGACTTTCTTGTGATTTTTGCCACGAGACCATACTCTAAGTAGGACAAATCCGCTAGTACATATACCAAGGAGGCAGCACCTGGTAAGCCTTCATGTGTCCTCTAATATGACTTAGTCTATTATACAATAAATTGGATCCAATCTTAATTCATGGTACAATATAAAGTAGAAGATAACCTGATTATCTTCTAATGAGTTATATTCTAAAATGAACTTAACGATTACCTTGGCTTTTATAAGTGGATAAATCATAAAGAAAATCTGAGTAAGTTACCCAAAGAAGGAAAACAACCAAAAATCCAACAAGCCTATTTGCCGAGTGACGATTCCTTATTCTTAGTGAGAGCATATATAGAATATCCTAAAACATCTATGTGTTTCTTAAACTTAGAGAAGACATCTATGCATTTGTGGGCAGCACTATTACATAATATCTAGCTAGATTATTTTGCTCCCATTCAGGACTCAATACTGCATCTACCAAGTACATGCGATCTACGAGTCTTGAGTTTTCTTGGTTGCACATCCTCATGCAAAAAATGTTCAGCTCCTTTATAGTGAAATAAATTGATCTTTCTCTTATTAGTTAAAGTTTTTACCTTTTAGTTGGCTTCTTTTATTTCAGAAATCATTGCAAAAAATTTTCCTAAATAACCATTGTAATTAGGCCCTTAGCATCATGCCTTGGATATCCAGCTTCCAAAGCTGAATGCTCTTCTAATGTATGTCTGTGAATCAGAGTAGAACCATGTTCTAGTTCCACCATCACTATCTCAGTACAATCTAAGATATTCTGCTCATTCAAAAGGTACTTGATCTTTTAATGCCAATTGAAGTAGTTATCGTCATTCAACTTAACACCCTTATTGAGATCAATGATAACATTCTTAGTAGCCATCTGCGCAAGAAAGATAATGACACTATTAATTACAAATGCTAAGAATATTGAAATACATAAGGAGTATTGTCCTTTCCTAAAGAACATTCTATCTCATCAAGCCTTTCATACTGATAATAAAAGCCCAAGGCCTCAACTACAATGTTTATGAATATAAGTTTAAAGTTGTTATAGAATTTTAAAAATGGAAATAGATTTCTTAGATATAGAATAGATTGGGTAGTTAAGTCATATTACCACATCTACCCTAAAATCTCTCACTTAAAATTATTTATTTTATTTAATCTGGTCTGCATCTAAACAAGAGACATGATAAACATAAATAAACAATTTTATTTTAATATTTAACTACCCATTTATCTTGTCAAAATTTTTAGGGTTTTTCATTTTTCTTAAGCTTGATACACGCCAAAGCACTTCCACTAAAACAAATACACATCAAAATCTCCAAGATTCTATTAGAATTTTATAACTAAATTTTCTGGTATAGAAAAATAATTTTTCTAAACTTTTAATGTTCAAAATTATTTTCTTAAATCCCAAAAATAATTGTATTTTGAAATCTTCTAGGCCCCATATTAGAAATTTCTAAAATTACTAAAAAATAATTAAAATATTTTTTGAAATTTTCATAGAAATTTTTAGATGTTCTGAGTATTTTTAAATATTTGTCTATTTTAAAATCAGATTTATAGAATTTTTTAAAAATTTAAAAAAAGAAATTTAAAAAACTTATTTATAGACTTGGCCTTAGGCTTTTAGAAATCGTTGGGACAAATCCAAGAAGGGCGGCGGCGGCTCTGCCTAGCAGAGTAATACCGAACCCAAGTCGGAGTTCTACCGCAGGCCCTGCTTGCGTTGTTACCTGCAACAGTGACCCAACGCGCTAGCCACAGCCGCAGCCGCAATTGCACTACAGTTAATGTTTTTTGTCAAAGAAATGAATCGGCGGTGGTAGAAAGTGGATGCTTCACTGCCCTAAACTGGAGCTAACCCACTATAATCGCCACCACCCGCGCCGATCAGCGCCCATGGCGCCGTGGTGCTGGTGGTGCTTCGGTGGGCTCCTGTTGTGGTTTTTTTAACTCACTACTGGTGTCCAGTGTCAGGCCCTCCAGCCCATAGTCCCACTGCCACTAGCACCCCTAGAGCCATCATTGTCGAGATCTAGGTTTTTAATTTTTAAAATTTTAGAAAATAAAAAATTTAAAAATTTAAAAAAAATAAAAAAGTATTTTCTAATTTAAAAAATTTTAGTAAATCCCTGATTTATTTAAATTGCCAACTAGTTCATAAAAGTTAAAATTCTACTATAGATCTATCATCCTAGATATCAAAATTGGTTTTTTACACCAAAAAATTAATTGTTAAATGAAAAGTAAATTTCTAATAATTAAATCCTAATATTCTGTTCTAGTGACTGAAATCACAATCAAGAAACTTCATATCTAATCTAAACAAATATAATATGAAATCAGATCTAAAACCTAAAAGAGTATCAAGGATGCGAGGAACCCTAATCTCGCTCTGATACCAACGTAAACTACGCATGCACATATACAAATATATAAATCTCTTGTTTAGATTCTGTCTTTTCTAGATCTTTTGGAAGGACCACCAGCATCTAATCTTGATCTTCGGACAATGGCCGGAGGGCGACCACGATGATATGGTGAGAAGCATCTGCATATTATGCCTCGACGAATGCATAAATCATAGAATTGATGATGAGGAAAGAGATGACAATAGTATATTTTTCTCACTCTCTTCAATCCCTACGTTTGTGCGTATATGTGGAGTAGAGAACCAAACTCTAACCCTTTAAGATTAGGAACCGGTTCATTAAATAACTGATTTGAGCTCACTTAAGATCCACCCACTTAATTGCACAGATACCAATTGCTAAGATTAGGAACCGGTTCATTAAATAACTGATTTGAGCTCACTTAAGAGCATCTCCAACAGCTTCCCCAAAATTTTCTCCAAAATGGAGAAACAAAAGTCATATTCTCCAAATTATTTTTACTACAACTCCAACAGCTTCCCCATTTTGAAAAATTACATTTATTACAATAATAAAGCTCTCCCCAAAAATTTGGAGAATGCTGCAGATTTGGGGAAGGCTCCCTATTTTTTCTCCTTCTTCCCTATTTTGGGGAATGAGATGGGGAATCTGTTGGACAAAAAAAAAGCTCTATATTCTCCAAAATTGAGTATTTCAAGAAGATGGGAAAGCTGTTGGAGATGCTCTAAGATCCACCCACTTAATTGCACAGATACCAATTGCTAACATTTAGATTTGCATGGCTCTTGACTACATCAAAGTTAAGTACTGGATGTACTTCTGTTCAAAGCTGTTGGACTTGGGTCCTGGTTTTCTTCAAGTCTATCTCCTCGACAATAGGTCACCGACATCAATTTGATTATCACTTCTGATAGAGGATTTTGTACAAACATCAACAAAAAGTACGCAACTACAAATCACTTTAGCACCAAAATATTAAGCAGCAGGAGAAAAAACGATCTTTAAAATTAGGTGATTACATTGCAGATAGTAGGGAATCCTAGGCGCTATTATGATTTTGAAACAACCTTGTTTTCTCCATTGCATTGGTAGGAAGAATCCTCAGGTTATTTCTTGTATAATCCTTGTATCATCTAAATTAAGCAAACTGTATTTATGTGTTATCTTATATGAAGTAGAGGAGAATTTTCTTATCTAAGATAAGATACACAAGGATTTCTACCATACGTTATTGAACAACATGTTTCATGAAAACAGAGATGGGCTGTATACAAACATCCACAAGTACACCTTTTACTCAAATATAAACTCCCAAATAAGTTCATCGAAGACATGATGAACTGCATAAAACTTAACTGCAACTAAACTTAAACCCATTCAAGCACATAACATCCAATTTGATGCATTGAATTAGTTATCGGGTTTATTCAGGAAGCCTATTTCCCCTGATTTAACAGTTGTTTGGTAAATCCGAACTCCATCACTACCACTGGCACCACCTCCTCCTCCTCCTTCGATATTGTTCTCAAAATATGGCCTCTGAGGGCCTCCTCCTTCTTCCCCTGGATCATTGAGGATTAGTACTCCTCCTTGTTTAACAGTTGTTTGGTAAATTTGGGCTTCACCGCCGATGTTGTTCACAAAATATGGTTGACGACCATCCCCTCCCTCTCCTTCTCCGACTCTTATAATTGTGCTGCGAAAATATGGTTGAGGATCGACTCCGACTCCGACTCCTCCCCCTATGTTGTTCACGAAATATGGCTGGTGATGGCCTCTTCCTCTTCCTCTATCTCCAGTGTTGCCTTGATGGTAGTTTCTTTCTTCTCCTCTTCCTACTATGTTGTTTTGGAAATATTTTGCAAATAAGTCTCTTTCTTCTTCTTGATCTTCACTGGTATGGCCTTGGTTTATCTTAATCAATAAATTGAAATGAGTACAAATCAATAAGAAAATATGTTAGGTTTGAAATGAATCTTAAACTTCTCAACGCTAATAGATTGCTGTAAATTGAAAAATATACCCTGCAATCTGGAAATACAGAAGAGTTTTATTCTCTAACGATCTAGATGGAACAAAATTCTATTTTTCAACAATACACTTCTTCTTTTTTAATATTGATATACACTTCTTTTTTTTTTTAAATATTGATACACCCTGTTCTGAAGTTTGATAAAAGTAGATCTCTAACTCTGTCAGAATAACTAAGCGTTTTTGCATACTTGACACATAAAGCAGAGATTTCCATGCATTCATATATATAAACAATATGAAAAAGAAGGAAAAGGAAACAAAACAGAAAGATAAAAAAGTTGCAACGTTTTAGTACTTACACGAGGATCCATTTTTTCTTCTGCTGATTAATGTTGCTCGTTATTGAGTGAATTGATGATCCTTTTTTTAGACCATCATTTATAGAGAAGGTGAATGAATAAACGCCCCGGGGAATGGTCTCTTTTTTTAATTTGAATTGACTTCAAACGAAAAATATGTACATGCCTTCGCAATCCGAGCATAAGATATAGGATTTATCGACAGAGATTCTTTTCAATTAGATGGTAAATAGAGATGGTACAATTATTCCAATCTTATAAAGTATATATTCTAATTTTAAGAAGAGATTAATGGGTGTCCTATGTCAAGGAGGGGATTTCCTCCTTGAAAATAATGTGGCACAATCCCCACCATGTGAATAAAGTACGATCACATGGTGGAGATTGTGCCACATCATTTTCAATAAGGAAATCCCCTCCTATGATAAGGATACCCGTTATTCTCTTTTAAGAATTAGGATGTAGTCACGTAAACTTCCACTGATATCCAGAAAAACACTATAGTTTTAAAAACTATTATTACGGAAATTTTATTTTGGGATAGTGCAAATCCTACTTGGCCATATCTTATATCTTCACATACAAATGGATGGGTAAGATTAGAGAAATTAGACCTTTTAGTTACCACCGAATTGGAAAGCATCTGAATCCAGGATTTAGATAGTTATGCATCTATTACTTATGGTAATAAATAATGACTTCTAAAAGTTTGAAGTCAATATATACAATTTGTGGATTTACGACCGTGTGGCCATGTAAAATTCCAATTTTAGAAGCAAGATGTGGCCACATAGAATTCCACTAATATCCAGGAAAACGCTACTATCTTGGAAGCTATTATTATGAAAAACCATATTTTTGGGATAGTGAAAATTCTATGTGGCCACATCTTATCTTTTAACATACAAATAGATGGATAAGATTAAAGAAATTAAACTTTTAATTACTACCAAATTGAAAAGGATTTAAATCCTAGATTTAGATAGCTATGCATCTATTAATTATGTCAATAAGTAATGACTTCTAAAAGTTTGAAGTCAATATATACAATTTGTGCACTTATGACTAACCATATTAATTAAGTCAATAAGTAATGACTTTTAAAAGTTTGAAGTCAATATATAAAATTTGTGCACTTATGACGAACCAACTCCCCAAGTTGGTGACAGATCTGTAGGCCGTATAAATTAATATTTGGTCAGAGCAAGATTCCACTAAAGAACTAAAAAAGACTCGTTCATCTGGTTAGTCAAATTAAATATTAAGGAGTCCAGAGACTTTTTGTGTTTTTGCTGATTCATTGATGCCTATGCATAAATAAACAAAATAAAAATGAATTTGTGAAGCAAGCGGTTGCAGTCTAATGAGAGCTAAGTCTACGGTAAACATATAAGAATTTGCGTGGCCAATGCTGAAAGCGATCAGAAACCAATATTTAAAGAGTAACATCTTGAAAAAGGATGTACATAGAGTTTTTATTGATCTAGAAAAAACTTATGATAGAATGCATAGAAAAATAATGTTGTCAGTTTTAAAAAAGAAATGTGTATCTAGTATCTATATTGACGTGATTATAGATTTGTGTCATAGCGTAACAACTAGGGTGAGAACAAATGAAAGAGAGACTAGATTATTTGCTATTACTATTTACTTATATTAGGGGTCGGCTTTAAGTCCTTATCTTTTTGTATTAGTTATAGACCAACTTACTAGGCATACTCAAGATGAAATCTCACAGTGTATGTTATTTGCTAATAATATAGTATTGGTTGATGAGACTGCAGAGGGTACAATATCTGAAATAGAAAGGTGGAGACAAGCTCTCAAAACTAAAGGTTTTAGAATCAGTAGAATAAAAAGAGAATACACGGAATGCATAAATTACTACAACTGAAAGGAGGAAAGAGCCTATGGTGCATATTAATGGCCATAATGTCTAAAAGTAACCATTTTTATTATTTCGGATCGATCATTTGCAATGGTGTAAGAAGGAGGATGATGTTGTACATTAACTCAAATCAAGATGGCTGAAATGGAGGAGTGTTTCAATAGTCTTATGTGATCATAGAATCCTATGGGACTAAAGGGAAAATTCAATAGGATAGTTACATGACCAACAATACTTCATGGATTAGAATGTTGGGCAATTAAAAAAAACATGTGAAAAAAAAGAGCATAGCAGAATTTTTGATGCATGCCACTTGCAACACGACACTAAGTGGTACGCACCAGTTAAAGATCTATGCAGAAGTGAAGCTTGCAGAAGTATCATCAGACACTGGTTCAGTTCTCCTCCTTCATCAAACCATAGACCAATGGGCGATGTGAAAACTCTGATAAACTACTTGTTCAAACTAAAGAGAAACACGAGCAACTACCATAGAAAAATAATCTAAGAGCACAAAAACATGTGATTTATGTGGTTCAACAATCACTTACATCCATGAAGATATTCGAGTCTTCTTTTAATCTAGAGATTACAAAGATACAATATTTTTTTATAAACTTGATAGACCCCACAAGAAACCGTCTCTCAATCTCACAAAATTATCTCTCAATGTTCTAGATCTCTCTCTCTCTCTCTCTCTCTCTCTCTCTCTCTCTCTCTCTCTCTCTCTCTCTCTTGTAATATGCAAATCTCACTGGCTTTTTAGCATTCCAAAATAGACGAAAACTAGAAATATCCCCAAACTAGTCACAGCAATTGGTCAATCAGTAGGGCTTCCAAGCTGGTCGGACCAGTCAGTGAAGCCACCATCTACATTATCATTGCCTCATTTCACTTTATTTCACATCTTTCTTTGTTTCTGACACTTCTTTTATCTTCCAGGGCTGAATTACAAGGCTATTTCCTAATAATATTCACCTTAGGCTTGTATGGAACCACCTTCAGAAACATCAATTCTTTCTTGCAACTTTGTGGTGAAAACTTGTAAAACTATAGACGATGAACACCTAAGGGTGTGTAATAGTAGAGGTTGGTATCAATGTCAAGCCTTCTATTGACTTGATACCAACCTCTACTATTGCACACTCTAAGCTGCATTGTCAACTTGTTATAGATTTGTTGTATGCTCCAACAAGAATTAATAAACTCTACTTTCGGCTCTCCCTTAGAACCCAAGTTCATCGTTAACTTCTTATCCTCATGGTCATACACACTCTTGTAGATAGAGTTCCACCTTGAATACCAGTTCTTTTAAACACTCGACACAAGCCATCTTCATATTTCTTCCCAAGTTAGACGGGATTCCTATCACAGTATACCATGACGACTCTGAAGTTACCCTAGAGGACGAAATTCTTTTAAGGGGGGTGAATGTAAAACCCTAAAAATTTGAGAATATTATGATAAATGGTGATAAATAAAATTTTAATATGAAAAATATTATTTATTGATGAATGAGTATGTTAGTAATCGATTTGAGATCGATTTGGTATGAATATGAGAGGATACAAGTGTTAAACATGCACAAAATGAGTGAAAACATGCACAACCTATAAACAGCTTGGTTTCGAATCGACCGACTAATGTTTGAAAATCAGTCAACCGACGGGATCTGATCAGTCGACTGATGGCAAACAACAGTTGACTAACAGGCTAATTTCCTGAATTGAGTTTGTTTCGGGTTTGTTGGTATATATATAAGCATATACACTTGAAAATCCTCTTTTACATCATATTTCTAAACCCTAGAAGCCACGCTCTCCCCTCAAAACCCTAGATATTATTTTTGGTGAATTTTGAGAGCTTTTTTACGCAAATACCGAAAAGAGGGCGAGATCGTCGGCGTTAGGTAAAGGAGGATCTGTTCTCTCGTGTGTTAAGGAGTTCATCACGAGTTTTGAGGCGAGTTTCATCTCCTCCAATCCCATCCTCATTTTTAATTTGTTTTTATTAAGTTTTATTTGGTTTTATTGGGCCTTAAAACCTAGTTTAAGTATAAAGATTATTCCTTAAAGATATGATACAAAGATTTGTTCTTTTTTATTTAAAAAGTTATAAACGAATTCTCTTATTTGTATTTAAGATCTGAAATAAATTTTAACATGAGGATTCGTCGAGATTTATTAGTTTTCATGATGATTTCTTACGAACATGATTATGTTAGGGGTAATATGATGCACTTAAATATAACAATTGAGTTTCATGTAGATAATTGAGCCCTAATCACCTTAAACAAGTTTTAACATATGTGTTATTGCGAAAACTTTTGATTTTGGTGCTTGAAAACAAGCCTAAAAACCTAAACCTGAGTCTGTGCATAGCATCGGTCGACCGATCGACATGATCAGCTGACCGAACCCATCCTGCTTATTGCCGACTAGAGTTGGCCAGTCAACCGATCGACATGATCATCTGGCCGAACCCATCCTGCTTATTGCTGACTAGAGATGGCCAGTCGACCGATGAGGAACATCGATCGACCGGCTAGTGCATATTTGCATGCATAGTTTGTGCATGTCATCGCCAGTCGACCGATGTAGACTTTAGTTGACTGAGCAGTATTACGTTGCAAAATTTTTTTAGGCACATGAGTTGATGACGAACACGAGATTAGGGTCCGCACATTGGGACACATGCTTGATCGTGGAGTAAACGTGTTGGGAAGCGTTCGTACGAGCATTTGGAGGCACATTACAAATATTTTGATTTGTCATGATAAAGGTTGATATATACATTGCATTTCATTATTACCGATGCTTGAGTGGGTTAGTTGGTATATCGCAATGAGACCGTGGTAGACTACACTCAAGGTTTCTAGTTGGTATGCTGCAATTAGACCGTAGCATACTACACATCGTTGTGCATCATTATTTTCAGAATAGTGTGACACGCCTATTTCCGCAGGGCGAGTGAGTAAGGTTGTTGATGCCACATGTTATAGTGAACGCCTTACAAGAGTATCGTTGATTTAGATAGAGAATTACATAGATTGCATTCATTTTTCCATGTTAGTTACCCGAGAGTAGGGTATATTACTGAGATTGTCCTACACGATATATTTCATCCAAGCTTCATTTTACCGGATGTTTAATTATATGACTGTGCCATCTACCTGAGGGTAGTGTGATTTTGACATGACTTGTGGGTTTGAGGTTTGGAGTTGTATTTATTTTATTTATTGCTTTATTCATAGGATTTGGAGTTGGT